TTATAGTTCTAATAATTATTCTAAGACTAGCCCTAATATATAAATGGTTTTTAAGGCACTGCTTAATAATGTTCAATGAGCCAAACCATATTGGCCCAGAGTCACTGTGGGAGGAAACTTCTTGAGCAAAGACATAGGGACCAAGTCACTTGCCCTGGTTAACATATAAATAGTAATTGGGGAAAATGTACCAGCTCATGCTATAAATCTTGCTGGTGCTAAGCCCAAGGTTTCTTATGGCCATCACTATGTCTCATTGCTTATCTTCAGATTTTCCTGATTCCCAGTAACTAACTGTGGACAACTTTAAATACTCATGCTCAGAGAAGGTGACATGATGGATAATCCCAAATGGTCTGTTCGAGTAGAGCAGGAGATACTGGATGAGTGACATTTTATGCTCGAGCAACTCATAACATTTCAAAAGAAAAAAAAATCTGTAACAAAACTATTTTCAAAGACCAGTGAATGCAAAAGGAGAAAATCCTCCACTATTCTCAAAGCTTCCCAGGAATGACACATTGTTGGCCTGTAGTAAATTTACTCCTTTTCTCTAAGCTCACTATATTTTAGTTCTTCTTAGGAAGGATGATTAAGTCAAACACAAATTAATTTACTGGAAATTTGTAAGAAATACCTACCAAGGTATATGTCTACAAATAGACAACATCAAGAAATCATTTCTGGGATTAGAGAGATGAATTAGTGGTTAAGAGCACTGGCTGCTCTTCTAGAGTTCCTGAGTTCATTCCCAGCACCCACAAGGCAGCCCACAACTGTCTATGACTGTAGTCTGAGTCATGGGATCAGATGCCCTCTTCTAGTGTGCATACATGCAGACAAACACCTATACATGTAAAACACATAAATAAATCCTTAAAAGAAATCATTTCTAATGAAACCATCAACTTACAGTAATAAAAAATTTAAATCAGCTGGGATGATGGCTCAGCTAGTTAAGGGCTTGCTGCACAAGAATGAAGAACTGAATTCAAATCCCCAACACCCATATAAAAATGCTACCCACGATGATACACACTAATAACCTTAGCTCTGGGAAAACAAAGGAAAGAATGTCCTTAGGGCTTGCTGGCTATATAGTCTTGTGGAATTGGTGAGCTCTGGGTACAGTGAGAGACCCTGTCTCAAATAAGTAGGTGGACAGAAAAGATATGACTTTGACCTCTGACATTCACACACACACACACTTTAAAGATTTTATATTCTACTACAGACATTTGCTTAGTTATGTTCATTGCCACTCTATTTACTAGCTAGGAAATGGAAACAATGTCAATGTCCTTTAACTGATAAACAGATAATTAAAATGTATATAACCACAATGAAATTATATTCTGCTGTAAAGCAAAATGAAATAATAAAATTTGCAGGCAAGTGGATGGAACTGGAAAATAATATACTGATTGAAGTGATCCCAACCCAGAAGACAGATTCTGTTCTGTTACTTGTGAATCCTAACTTTGAATCTTTAGGTTTGAGTGTACAGCCTGTAGTAAAAGGAGCCATTTACTCCATTCCATGCAGGAGCCAGGAAAATAGAAAGGCATCCTGGGGCAATCAGCAAAGAAGGAGCTCTTTGAGGGGATAGTAGGACAGAGAAGCATGGAATGGGAATTGGGGGGGGCACTTTAACTGGGGAGGGAAGAGGAATTATATAAAATGGAGTTATTGCACATGGGGTGATAATGCTTTCAAGATCCATAGACTACAAAAAAAATTTTACTGTCAGCCATGGAAAACCTCCCTTCAAGTTGTTGGTCAGGAGCCAGGAGACTACCCACAAAACAAAGGCTGTTGCTGTTGCCCTAGGTTGCCTCCCATACTTGGTGGATTTTCCCTGTGATAAATATGTAATGTCCTTCCTGATCTCTTTCAATTGATTTTAGTTTGAAGTCTATTTTATTAGATATTAGGATAGCTACACCAGCTTGCTTAAGTCTATTTGATTGGAAAGCCTTTTCCCAGCCTTTTACTCTGAGGTAGTGTCTGTCTTTGAAGTTGAGGTGTGTTTCTTGTATGCAACAGAAGGATGGATCCTGTTTTCATATCCATTCTGTTAGCCTGTGTCTTTTTATAGGTGAGTTGAGACTATTGATTGATGGATATTAATGGCCAGTGATTGTTAATTCCTGTTATTTTTTGGTGGTAGTGTTGTTTCCCTTCTTTGGTATTTGTTGGTGTGGGATTATCTATTGCCTGAGTTTTTCATGTGTGTGTGTAATTTCCTTAGGTTGGATTTTTCCTTCTAATGCTTTCTGTAGGGCTGGATTTGTGGATAGGTATTGTTTAAATCTGGTTTTATCATGGAATATTTTGTTTACTCCGTCTATGGTGATTGAGAGTTTTGCTGGGTGTAATAGTCTGGGTTGGCATCTGTGGTCTCTTTAGTGTCAGCATAATGTTTGTCCAGGACCTTCTAGCTTTCATAGTTTCCATTGATAAGTCTGGTGTTATTCTGATGGGTCTGCCTTTATGTTACTTGGCCTTTTTCCTTTCGGCTCTTAATATTTTTCTTTATTTTGTATGTTTAGTGGTTTGATTATTATGTGGTGAGGGGACTATTTTTTTTTTTTTTTTGAATCCAGCCTATTTGGTGTTCTGTAAGCTTCTTCTATCTTCATAGATATTTCTTTCTTTAGATTGGGAAAGTTTTCTTTTGTGTTTTTGTTGAATATATTTTCTGTGCCTTTGAATTGGTATTCTTCTTCTATACCTATTATTCTTAGGTTTGGTCTTTTCATGGTGTCCCAAATTTCCTGGATGTTTTGTGTCAACGACATTTTTGGCTTTAGCGTTTTCTTTGACGAACGAATCTATTTTTTCTACTGTGTCTTCAACGTCAGAGATTCTCTGTTCCATATCTTGCATTCTGTTGGTTATGCTTGCATCTGTAGTTCCTGTTTGTTTAGTCACATTTTCTATTTCCAGCATTCCCTCAGTTTGTGTCTTCTTTATTGTCTCGATTTCAACTTCTAAATCTTGAATTGTTTCCTTCATCTGTTTAATTGCTTTTTCTTGGCTTTCTTTGATTTCTTCCAATTTTTTGTTTGTTTTTTCTTCCATTTCTTTTAAGGGACTTTTTCATTTCCTCTTTAAGGGCCTGTATCATCTTCTTAAAGTCATTTTTAGGATTGATTTCTTGTGTTTCTGCGTTGGTATGTTCAGGTCTTGCTGGTGTAGAAACACTAGGTTCTGATGCTGTCATATAGGTTTTTATGTTGTTGCCTGTATTTTTGCATTGGCATCTATCTACTCATCTCTTCCTCCGCTTGGTGCAGGCGATGCCTGAGGGTGCCTCTCTTGTTCTAATTGGTAGTCTTGGTCCACTGGGAGTTTTTGGTCAAATCAGTGCTGATGGGCTCTGTTTCTCCAGGAGCAGCTTAGTCCAATTGGTGTTAATGGGTTCTGTCTCAGGGAGCAGTTGTTCCCAATCAGTGCAGGGTGGACTTATGGCTCCGATCGTTGTTGGTGTCACATGGGATGGTTTTCTTGGTGAGGGGGCAGGGAAAGAGGATGCTCTCTGGTCCCTGGGGCTCCACTGGCAGGGACCAAGCAGCTGCTAGAGGGGCTAGAGATCTGGTCTGCCAGATGGGAGATAGGGCCTTACCTGTTCCCAGTCAAAGTAGGGTGGGCTTATGACTCTGGTGACCCGGTCTGGTGACTGGACGGCTTCTTCTCTTGTGTTCTTGGGTTGCACTCTGCCAGCTCCTCAGCTGATCTTGTTTCCTCAGACTACAGGCTTCTGAGACCTCTCCCTAATTGCCTTGCATCTTCAAGGTGATCTGTATGCAGGTTGCACTTAAAGAATGAAGGATTCACTTGACGCCCTCTTCTGACTTCGTGTGCCAGGGTCACACAGCACCTCCCATACTTGAAAGAAAGCCTATTGCCAGAGACACCACATGCTTTGGACATAAGACTTAGAGAAATGGAGCTGCAACTGACCTGGAAGCCTCTTCCCTAAGGACAGGTTCTTAACATATTGGAAGATGCAATGAGATCTGTCAAGGGACAAACGCAATCAACAGTCCTACCCAGGTATAAAGCCTATGACTACAAAAATGATGGGCCTAGAAAAATATCCACAACTGTGGAATAGTGGGGATATCTTAAAGGGTAATCAATAACTTTCTATTTGGAGTTAATTGTCCAATCAGCCTGCTCAATAGGCGGGAAATGCATGCTTGCTACTGTAAACCTGCCAACTACCTGTTGCTGGAGACATCACAGAACCTAGAGAATCTACTATTGCCATCTTCCCAAACCAACATAATTTCTAACTGTATCTAAATACTTATCCACAATCTATTATCACCACTTTACTAGAGCAGCATAACTACTTAACTTTCTAAATCTTATCCTTATACCTAGAGATAAATCTAGCTACTACCTTTCATCAGAAAAGCCTGTCTTTACCGTAAATGGAGACCATCACAGAAAACCACAACTGGATAAAATGCAGAGATCAATGGATTGTGGCAAGCTCAGTCCCAATGGATACATCTACATCACAGCTCTTGCATGTATGGCTCAGAGAAGATAGAGGAAGACGGGGCAGAAATATTTAAGAGCCAGTGTGGTGATACTTTGTTTGTGATCTAATCAATAAAGCTTACCTGAAGATCAGAGTGTAGAGCTAGGCCACTAGTTAGCCATAGAGGCCAGGCAATGGTGGCACACACCTTTAATCCCAGCACTTGGGAGGAGGAAGCAGGAAGTTCAGGAGTTCAAGACCACCCTGGGCTATACAAGATTGATCCAGTCTATAAGAGAAACAGGGAGTGGTGGCACATACCTTTAATCCCAGCAGTAGGGAAGTGGACACAGGAAGTCATATGGCTGGGCAGAGAGAGGACTATAAGGTGGGAGGAGACAGGAGCTCAGTCTTTCAGGCTGAGAAGTTCTCTGAAGTAATGTTAGACCCCAAAGTTTAGGGTCTTGAGTGGGCGCCCCAAGAACCCAGACTCTGATCCAGTTGATGCAACAGCACGAGGTGTTTATTGAAGAAGCAGCTGTACAGTCGGGCTAACTCAGCTCCAAAGAGCAAGAGTCGTGCCTATTGTAATCACATGGGTACTTTTAAAGGAAAAACCCACAAAAGCCATAAGATTACAATTCCCATACAATTTCATGGCCTGATCACAGGGTGCTCACATTGTGGGTACAGTCACGTCCGCATGCACATTCTTCCAGAAACCTCAAAGGGGGTATCAGGGCGGGAGTGGAGTTTACACAAAGGTCACAATGGTTCTTCCTGGAACACTTACAACTATCCCAGTCACAGTTGAGCGCATCTCTTAACAGAGATCTCTTTACACTGTTACATTGTGGCAGGGGTGGTTGAATGATGGCTGAGTCAGGTTGCCCTTGGAACTAGTTTTCTTTTTAGTTCCTTATTCTCCTGGGGCTTGGGGGGTGTAAGCCTGAAGGGTTAGGGTCTTTCAGTAAGAGGTGGTAGTTGTGGCTTGCTTCTTTTTCTCTCTGATCTTTCAGCATTTACCCCTATATCTGACTCTGGGTTTTTATTATTCAGACCAAATAAGATTCATGCTATAAGCCAGGACACTAAGAAGTCTACTATGAAACAATCTCTCTTAGAAATGGCTGCATAAATAAGACTGGGATGAATGGCAATATCAATGGACATGCCAAACATGGAAGGGAGAAATTTTTGAGGGGTCCCACCCCTAGACAAATAACTATAGGCAACTAATGACTACTGGCAGAAAAATTTAGACTCTCTCTGTGATGAGCTTCCATATTGATTGGTGTAGTGGTTTGAGTAAGAACGATTAGTTACCAGGGAGTGGCACTATTTGAGAAGAATTATGCTATGGGATGATCCTTCTGTACACTGTTTATAAGTATTACTATCATTGCTTAATAATAAAGTTGATCTGTAGGTGGAGAGCTTTTCTCTCCGGGTCCCACCAAGTCCCGACAGTCTTGTGGCTTACTGGTACCTTACATCTTGCTTGTCCTGTCAGCGGCTCCAGGCAGTCTCCCTCTCTGCCTTCCTGTTCCCTCAATTCTCCTCTCTGTTAGTCCCGCCTATACTTCCTGTCTGGCTACCGGCCAATCAGTGTTTATTTATACAGAGCGATATCCACAGCACTGATCAACCTACAGCAAGGCAGGATAAAGTTAGGTGGGACAATCAAACTGAGGACTGGGAGGAAGAAGGTGAGTCAGGAGAGACCCAAGCAAGCAGCCCAAGAAACAAGACACCAGAGGATCAGTAAAGCCATGGCCACATGGCAATACATAGAAATAGGTTAATTTAAATGTAAGAGCTAGTCAGCAATAAGCCTGAACTGGCCGAGCATTCTGTAATTAATATAAGCTTTTGTGTATTTGGGACTAGGAGGTCAGGACAGAAAAGCTCCACTTCCATTTACAGAATTAGGAGGTGTGGACGTATTGGCCCGTGCCAGGCCCAGTCTCTTCCTCTCTGCCTATATATCAGGATGTAGAACGCAAAGCTACTTCTCCAGCACATATCTCCTTGGATGCTGCTATGCTCCCTGTCATGATGATAAGGACTAATCTCTGAAACTGTAAACAACCCTCCAATGAAATTCTGTTTTATAAGAGTTGCCTTGGTCATGGTATCTCTTCACAGCAACAGAAAAGTGACTAAGACAGTTAGCTAATGCAGAATGATGAACCCTGAAACCATATACACACAAGCAACAAAAAGACTCAGCACACTGTATTTGTATATTTGTGCATGCACATATATACATGTATACTTGCACTTAACAGTAATAAAAGGGAGCTATTAACTTGAGGGAGGGTATGGGAAGTAGGGGAGAGAGAGTATCTGAGAGAATCTGGAGAGAGGGAAGGAAAGGGGGAAAGTGATGTAATTTCTTCTAATAAAATTAATAATAAATGTAAAAAGCCAACCAAACCAAAAAATTACCAAAAATGAGAATTATGAGAAAAATGTTTTCAATATTGAAAACTGAGGCATTTATTTTTAAAAAATACACTGATTTATTCATGTATACATTTACTTTACAAGAATATATTTAAACTTTCATCAAAAACTAAAGCGTTTTTAAGAATTTTTCAAAATCTTTTACTGAAGTTTTGGCAATCTCTTTGCAGAATACTTCATCAGGAACAGATACGAACTTGTCCAAAGAGACATAGTTAGGTTTTGCTGGATCATACTGCACTTTTCCCAAGTAGGTAAGAAACAAGTGTCTTTCTTTAATTTTAAATACTCTTGTATTAAATACCTGGAAAAGAAAGGAATTTACAATAAAAAGCTGAGGGGGTAGCTCGATTGAAAGATAAATGTCTAGGAGAGGCTCTGAGTTTGAGCCCCAGCACACACGTTAAGTATTAATAGATAAGAAATTACGAGTTGAGCATAGTGGTGTTCACCTACAATCACAGCACTTGGTAAACTGAAGCAAGAGTAGTAGGTGTAGTGGTAGCCTAGGTCATGTAGGAAGTTCCAAAGTAAGCCTGACATATTGAGCAGAAATCCTGGGCTATAGGGCAAAAGCCCATCTTTAAGAAAAAATGGAGAAGAAGAAGGTAAATTATAATTTAAGAGGGACTAAAAACCAACACAGAATAATAATGAAAGAAAGCCTTTGCTGGGCAATGGTGGCGCATGCCTTTAATCCCAGCACTTGGGAGGCAGAGGCAGGTAGATTGTTGTGAATTTGAGGCCAGCCTGGTCTACAGAGCAAGTTCCAGGACAGTCAGGGCAACACAGGGAAACCCTGTCTCAGGGAAGAAGAAAAAAAAAAAAAAAAGCCTTCATGAAATGCAGCCAACACGATGACTCTACAGACCTGGGAGAGCATTGGAAGAGCAAATCCTCAGGTCTCACCCCAAAACCACTTCATCTGAAACTTGGAAATGAAGCCCAGAAATCTGTTTTAACTAGCTTTTTAGATTCTAGATTATCTGCCAAGTGTGAGAACCAACATTAGAGACCAAGATCTGTGTCAGCACAAAGGAACTCATCATCTGTGTAGTGTTAAAGTGTCTCTGTTTTGATCTTTAAATTCTGTTACCCAACAAGAATCAAAATAAAATAAGGCTGTCCCTTTGGGGGGGGGGGTGTGAAAAGGGAAAGCATGCCTTTTCCTATTAAAATCCTCACTGTTGAAAAGTAACTTGCTTTGAGAACAGTGACCAAAGAAAGTACATGCTGCTAACTTGGAGTGACATTGGTATGCTTCTGGAACAATCCCTTTGTGTCTCTGCACTGATGGTCATGAGGTCCACAGAAAAAGAAACATGAGACCGAATAACATGTAGCAAAAGGAGGCCTGTGTGGACTGGCACAAGCCATCAGTGCTGGACTTGTAGACAAGATGCTGGACTGGAAGCCCCCGTGTAATGTTATAGAGAAGAGTCAGAATAAGAAAAAAATAGACTTGACTGCAAAGAGACTGAGAAGACCACTGTTGGAAATTAACTACTATCAAGAGAGGCAGACTGGTACCCTCCAGACACACCTACAGCCTACAGATCTTCAAAACCCACTGCAGGTTTTAGTGAGACAGTGATTCCTGGGCCAGTGGTAGACAGGAATCTCACTTTGTCCCTTTGTTTTCCTCTTTTGTCAAATAGGGATAATTGTTGGAAGAATAATTATAATGAGTCCATACACACAAAGCAGTGAGAACTCAATAGGTATTACTATATCTATGATTTTCTCTCTCCATACCAAATTAATTGCCCCATGAGCCCTCTACTAATATGTAAGCTTATTTTAAACCTCTGCCTCTCACATTAGATTACAAGCCATGTATGACTGAGTTCTGTAATCTTAGTGCTCACAAACATTCTAGCCCAGGGTAGATTGTCCATTTTATAATGAATTTCTGGACTCCACTTGTGGGATAATCTTTCTGTACACTGTAAAGATGTGTCTCTGCCTAAGTCACCTTTTGATCGGTTTAATAAAGAGCTGAACAGCCAATACCTAGGCAGGAGAAAATAGGTGGGACTTCTGGGGAGAGAGATGAACTGAGGAAGAATCTGAGGCAGGCAGGAGATGCCAGTGAGATGCAGAGCAAGTTGGGCATACAGAATGGGAGAGAGGTAAAAGCCATGTGGCAGAACATAGATTAATAAAAACATGTTAATTTGAATTATAAGAACTAGTTGGGAACAATCCTAAGCTAAAGGCCAAGGTTTCATAATTAATAATAAGTCTCTGTGTCATTACTGGGGAGCTGGTGGTCTCAAGGAAAATCCAACAAGAAAGATAATTATATCCAATGGGAAGGTAGGAAGAGGTCAGATTCTCATATAACCCACTCTCAATTATCTAATGGTCTAGAAGACAACAAACTGTCACTGCTTTTTCATAGATTACTTATAATTATTCCATAAGCTGAAGTCCCACAATTCTATGCCTCCTATACTTTATTATAATGAGCCAGCATCATCCTATATTAAAGGCCATTCAGAGTATGATGGGTAAATACACATCACTCCATGTGAAGGAAGTGGACTAAATGCAATCTAGTTTTGAGAATTATTAAGATTATATATCTTTTCATATCTCTACACCATGAACAAAGGACTTAATATTTTTAAACTTAATGGAAAAAAACCCAAGAGACTGTTTGAGTTTTCTCCTGATTCCAACAGTCAAAGGTAGGAGTAGGTAAAAACTACAGGGGTAGAGACAAACCTCAGGAGCCCTGCAGCTGTGAACTTCCTACAAATACACAGCACCACACCTGGAAGCCTGCAAGGGCAGCTGTCTGAGAGGGCTGGGAGATGTGTTACCTGTGGGAACTTGACAATGATGTGGTGGGGAATATTCATCACATTGTGTACATAATCAAAAGTCTCCGTAAGTTTCCTTTTGTTTGCGGTTAGCATCTTTGGGATTCTGGTGACCATATGTTGAATTTCATTATGTTTAAAACCAAGTTCAAGGCGATAAACCTACAAGAAAGTAAATTCCTGGGAGTTATGAGTAGAAATAGTCTTTTGGTACTACGCTGGAGGACAAATTGATTCTTCTGAAGTTTAAAGTAATGACCTTTTAAAATTCAGGGGCATTTATACCAGTACACCTCAAGGGATTACAGTTCACTCGTTGGGGTCACCCAAATTTCAAACCCCTTACCTGAGCAAGAGCTTTTCTGCACTGATGGTCATGAGGTCCACAGAAAAAGAAACATGAGACCGAATAACATGTAGCAAAAGGAGGCCTGTGTGGACTGGCACAAGCCATCAGTGCTGGACTTGTAGACAAGATGCTGGACTAGAAGCCCCCGTGTGATGTTATGGAGAAGAGTCAGAATAAGAAAAAAATAGACTTGACTGCAAAGAGACTGAGAGAACTACTGCTGGAAATTAACTACTATCAAGAGAGGCAGACTGGTACCCTCTAGACACACAGCCTACAGATCTTCAAAACCCACTGCAGGTTTTAGTGAGACAGTGATTCCTGGGCCAGTGGTCAAGAATCTCACTCTGTCCATCTGCATGCTGGTATGCAGAGATTGTGCCATCTTGAGTGATAACCTATTATTTGAAACTGAGCTATACTGGAGGCCTGAATTTGGGGAAAAACAGTGTGCTTTAATCCAATCTGCAATAGCCTCAGGGTGAGAGACAGCCTGGGGAGGTAGTTGTGGAGGCAGAAGATGAAAAGTACAGGTGGCAGGAGGCCTACATGGTGAAATGCATAGGGAAAAGTAACCCTGCCCTTGGTTGCCAGGAGCACGTTGGCCTCTGGAAGACCCATCTCCTGCTCACTGCTGTAAAGCCTAAAAATTGAAGCTTCTGTGGTGTACCTGACATCTACTGCTGCATCCCTCCAGCTAGCTGAATAAAACTTAGAGAAAAGTGTGAAGACAGGTCCACTGCCTGAAGAGATCTCAATGTTGTGACTGCTTCCCACACTTTCAGTGAAATTGGGAGATAGGTCCAACTGGAAAGTAGTCAACATAGGGATTATTAGCTGGGGAGTTTTGTGAGGGTAAGGGGACCTGCCCAGCTTATGGACTGCAGAGCTAAGTGAATACAGCTATGGTGGAGCTTCCAAATAAGCTAAATCAGAACCAACACAGGACCAAGCTATACTACTCTTGAGTCTATACATGAAGAAATTAAGTCAACATACTGCAGATACTTGCATATTGATTTTTGTTGCAGCAGTAATATGGACTCACTCTAGATGCCTATGAATAAATGTAATAGGTAAAAAAAATGTGGTACATATACACAACAGAATTTACTTCACCTCTGAAGAAAAATGACATTAAAGGAAAATGAGGCTGGGTGGTGGTGGTGGCCCATGCCTTTAATCCCAGCACTCGGGAGGCAAAGGCAGGTAGATCTCTTGTGAGTTTGATGCCAGCCTGGTCTACAAAGTGAGTTTCAGGATGGCCAGGGATACACAGAGAATCCCTGTCTCAAAAAACTAAAAAAAAAAAAGAGTAGAATTGGAGACCACTATGTTAAGTGAAATAAGCCATACTAAGAAAGTCAAATACCACATGATTTCTCATATACAGACTTCAGACTTAAATTTAGACATAAATGTATCTATACCAGTGTGGATGCATGTGCATGTAGGTCATGAAAGTAGAAAGGAGACTGTGAAGGGGTGGAAAAGATCTTAAAGGAGGTGGGAGGGGAAAAAAAGAGAGCAATGGAATTCATGTTGACTTACAGGCAGAAGGCGAGCTACTTGGGGAAAGCAGAGTACCAACAAAAGGGGTGTAAGGAGATGGGGAGGGCAGCAGAGGGGAGTGAATAAGAACAAAGTAAAATAGCACATATATAGGAAACCATGATTTTATATAACTTAAGAAAACAAAAAAAAAAAAAATAAGATTTTCAAAGCAGTTTTTGAGCTTTTGCTCCCAAGCATATACACACAGTTGTCATGGAATAGAAATCCAAATTCTGGATAGAAATGATAGATGAAATGAAACATCCAAATATCATAGGTCCTCTCTATATTTTTGCCCTCTCTGAAACTGTCACCACACCCTACCCCACCCTGGCCAATCAATCTACCTCATCACTTTTGACTATACTCCTTTAAATTCTAAGAGCCATGAGAACAGGGAATCCCTCCTCAGAACAGCACCTAGGTGGGAGGTTATTATAATAGCACTTCAATGACTGAGTATGAAATACTTCAGCATCCCAGAGAACAGGCCTTACCTTACAATTTCTACTCCTACTGCTGTTTTGTGCAAACCACTGAACTGCTATTGGTGTCATACTACACTCTCTTGGAGGAGAGACAGGAAAGTGTACTTGGCATGTTCTGTCATAGAAATGGAGCTGACAAGTGACAACTTAACAGAAGTTGAGTCAGCCTCTGTACTTGATACAAGCTAGAGTCATCAGAGGAAGGAGCCTCAGTTGAGGAAAGGTCTCGATGAGATCCAACTCTAAGTCATTTTCTCATTTAGTGATCTGTTTGTGGTGGTATTGTGTTCCCCAAAATATTGTGTACCTTAATAAACTTATCTGGGGTCAGAGAACAGAAAAGCCACAAGATACTTAGGCTAGAAAATGTTAGCACACGCCTTTAATCCTAGCATTCCAGAGACAGAAATCCCTCTGGATCTCAGTGAGTTCAAGGCCGCATTGGAAACAGCCAGGCATGGTGACTCATGCCTTTAATCCCAGGGAGTGGTGGTAGAAAGCAGAAAGGTTTATAAGGCGTGAGGACCAGAAACTAGCAGCATTTGGCTGGTTAAGCTTTCAGGCTTTCTAGCAGCAGTTCAGCTGAGAGCCATTCAGATATGAGGACACAGAGGCTTCCAGTCTGAGGAAACAAGACCACCCGAGAAGTTGGCCAGGTGAGATAGCTGTGGCTTGTTCTGTCTCTGATCTACCAGCATTGACCCCAATAACTGGCCTCAGGTTTGATTTTATTAATAAGACTCTCTAAGATTCCTGCTACATCTGTTGAAGAATATTACTTTAACTATGTAAATATATGCTACATTTGTTATGGTGTGTAATATTACTTTAACTATGTAAAGGTGCGTTCCATTTGTTTATGCTCCATTTGTTTAATTATGTAAAGATGTACTGCTTTGCCTGCCTATGGCACTAGATTGGTCTAATAAAAAACTGAATGGCCAATAGCTCGGCAGTAGAGGGATAGGTGGGGCTGGTGGGCAGAAAGAATAAATAGGAGGAGGAACCTAGGCTCAGGAGGAGAGAGAAGAGAATGAGGGAGAAGATGCCTGGGGCCAGCCAGGCAGCTCAGACAGACAGACATGGAAGAAGCAAGAAAGTAGGACATACAGAATGAAAGAAAGGTAAAAAGCTCCAAGGCAAAACGTAGATGAAGAGAAACAGGTTAATAAAATTATAAGAGCTAGTGGGATAAGCATAAGATAAGGCCAAGCTTTCCTTCATAACTAATAAGTGTCTGTGTCATGATTTGGGAACTAGCTGGTGGCCCCAAAGAAAGCCTGAAACAGTGATTAAAGGGGGAGGCCCAGCCCATGGTGGGTGGTGCCATCCCTGGGCTGCTGGTCCTGGGTTCTATAAGGTGGGCTAAGCAAGCCATGGGGAGCAAGCCATTAAGCAGTACCCCTCCATGGCCTCTGCATCAGCTCCTGCCTCCAGATTCTACCCTGTTTGAGTTCCTGTCCTGACTTCCTTTGTGATGAACAGCAATGCTGAAGTGTAAGCCTAATAAACACTTTCTCCTCAACTTGCTTTTTGGTCATTGTGTTTTGTAGTAGCAACAGAAATCCTAACTAAGACAGCCTCCAACATTCTCAAAACATAAATTCTCATGATAGTCAAAAGTGGTTTCACAGAATGAAAACAGGCCAGGAAGCACAGACATTGCCTGTCACACCAAGTAATGAAAAGCTGTTTCCAGGTCCCAATTATACCTTACTGCTTCAGGATCCTGGGTCCTAATGTCTACAGGTTATTGACTTAGGTAGAGTGGGTAGCATATGCAAGACAACTGGCTAAAATAAACTGTCATTTCTGTCCTTTAGAAATAACTTGTTAAAAATCTGTTTTTTCTTTTTTCTTTTTGCACGATGACAACAGCAATATTTAGTCTCTTATGAAAACTTGGCCAAAGGTGGTGATGGCTCATGTCTCTAATCCCAGCACTCAGGAGGCAGAGGCAGGACACCCAGGATTACACACAGAAAAACCCTGTCTCAAAAAAACCAAAAAAAGCAAAGAAAAGAAAACTTAAGTACATAAAGAAATTAGCTTCTTATAGCTTGAAGATATGTTACCTTCATATTTTCTTTCACAGGCTCCAGACTTCCCGTTAGTAGCCTTGGAAGACGAACAACCAGATCTCTAGTCTACAGTTAAAACATAATAATTATCATCACTATACATGCACATTTAACTAGCTTGGAAAACTAAGGCATTATGAGGAATACCAAGCTAAAATTTAAAATATGACCCAATCAAATAACAGAAAGCTTGGAAATATGTATGAACTTAACATTATTTGATAAGAAATCCAACATGGAAACAGAATTTAAGGAAGCTATTTGGCAGTATATTATAAAGTAGTGGAGCCTCCCTTTTAATCTATCAGGGTTACTCATTTTTGTACACAAAGTATCATGCATTTACAGGATCTGTGTGGGTCAGGCACTTAGAAACATGACACTTAAAGGTTACTAAAAGAGGGAATACATTTCCTTACACTTTTTTCTTTTTTACCTTCTTCACACTCAGTTCAAGTTCTTTCTGAAAAAATCCCAGTCTGTTATCCAGTCTTTCCACCGAGAAGCTCAAGAGAAATGGTGCCTGTCTGACCATCCGTGCGATATCTGCATTACTGAAATGTTTTGACTGTAGATAAGCTACTCTGGAGAAATAATAAAAAACAAACATATGCATGATAAACACTTCCTAGAGCAATAAAGCATATTATGTTACTTTCTGAACATCTAAAATTTTTTTGAGGCTTTGAGTACATACAGGAGTACTATTATTTGCATAATTTCCATCCCCACTCCTCCTGTGTCCCGCCCTCATCTCTTTACAATTTTTACTTTTACACATATATATTCACAATATGTATATATTAATAGAAACTTCTGAGTCTACTCAGGACTAAAGTAACTTTTAAAGGATTCTATAACTTCCCCATAAAAAAGATCAATAAAAGTACTCTGTAAGCTGGGTAGTAGTGGTGCATGCCTTTATCCCAGTACAGATAGGTGGATCCCTGAGTTTCAGGCAAGCCTGGTCTACAGAGTGAGATCCAAGACAGCCAGGGCTACACAGAGCAACTGTCTCAAAAACGTCACCCTTCCCCCGCAAAAAAACCTCTGTAATAGCTGAAATATGGGCACATTTTCAGGAGAAGCACCTGATACATTTTTTACTGGTTTCCATTTACTTTGAATCAGAAAATAATTCTAATATACTTCTGGGTAGATCTTTAAATTAAACAAATTATTATTATATGCATATCATGGGGGAAAGGAGACATGCACATGCCTTGGTGAACAAGTGGAATTCAGAGGGCAATCTTAGGGGTTGGCCCTAGCCTTCCACCTTGTTTTGGGACAGGATCTCCTATTGTTCATGGCCACATAAGCCAGTTTAGCTATCGTCTGAGCTCCAGAAGATTATACTCTCTGCCTCCCATCACCAAAAGCCTGCTGAGATGGCATCTGGCTTTTTGTGGGTTCTGGGGAATCCATACTCTAGTCCTCTCACATTTAGATGGCAAGCACTTTATCCACTGAGCCATCTGTTTCCAGCCAAAATTTTTGGTTTTGAGACAGGGTTTTATTACCTACCCCAGGCTGGCCTTGACCTTTTCATTTTCTGGGCTTAGTTTCCCAAGTGCTGGAATTATAAGCATGCATTTTCATATGTCACACAAAACAATATATATTTATATAAACTATATGCAGTTTATTCATTTGGAAATTCTACAAAGGACTTGCAATTTTACATTCTAAGTTATTTTCATTGAAAAGAAAATGAGTATATAAAATTGGTGCTATTATGGATATTGTAGAAAATAAGCCTGCTATATCTAGCAAAGTCAAAACCCAAGTTTTTTTGTTTTTTTGTTTTTTTCCCGAGACAGGGTTTCTCTGTGTAGCTTTGCGCCTTTCCTGGAACTCACTTGGTAGCCCAGGCTGGCCTCGAACTCACAGAGATCCTCCTGGCTCTGCCTCCCGAGTGCTGGGATTAAAGGCGTGCGCCACCACTGCCCGGCCCAAAACCCAAGTTTTAATTAAATATTTTTTATATTCTTTCATATTCACTAGAAACTCACTGTTTATCATATACCTTTTTGAGTCTACACAGATAAAATATCTACAAAGATTCTAATAAACATTTCTCTAGCAGTCAAGAGCATGTGGCAACTTGAACAAGAAACTTTGCTTCCTTAACACAGGTTTCTTTCACAGAATTAAATGTAGGAAGATGCTATGTACAGTAAGTATCAAGACTCTGGAGTTTGGCCAACTTAGTTGGGATCCTAGCTCTGCCATTTATACTGTGTGTGTAATCTTGGTTAAATAACTTAAACTTTCTATACCTCATGCAATAATTATGGTGAAACCTCTCAAGTGAGTCCCACTGCCTGACATTCATGCTTTTCTAGAATAAATCTGGTCTAATGAGGTGCACTGGCTTTTGAATGAAGAAATCTGTACCTGCAGCCAGGATGCTGGGTCTGAGTTTCTTAGAATCACTCTTTCCCTGTGCCACATGATAGTTTGTAACATAGGACTCTATAAATCCCATGATGAGAGAGCATCAGTCTTTTAAGTCTGATGCCTGGTCCAGCGCCTTAACTATGTAAGATGTGTGATATAAGAAATGCAGATTATTGAGTTTCATTTTTTTTTCCCTAACTCACAGAAAAGGATTAGTGTATTATTAGCCAAGAAACTGCCAAGCCCTTAGCAGATCAATTCCAATGTGGAGAACAATCTACAGCAGTGGTTCTCAACCTGTGTGTTGAAATCCCTTTGGTAAAGGGTCAAAAGACCCTTCCATAGGGGTGGCATATCAAATATTTACATTATGAATCATAACAGTAGCAAAATTACAGTTATGGAGTAGTAATGAAAATAATTTTATGGTTGGGGATGACCACAACATAAGGAACCATATTACATGGTAAGCATTAGGAAGGCTGAAAACCACTGGTTTATAGGGATTGGAACTGGGCAGCAAGAGACAAGTGTGATCTTGGCAGGACCGGAGGCAAAGTATCCCAGGGAGAGATTGAGAGAAATGTGTAGGCAGAAGTTTCTGTGTCCAGCCAGCAATTCCCAAATAGCTGGCAGCCACTTCCCAAATAATTGACTCTGAGGCTTAATATTACTTATGAATGCTCAGCTGGTAACTCAGGCTTATTACTAACTAGCTTTTGTGCTTAAATTAACCCATAATTCTTATCTATGTTTAGCCATGTGGCTTGGTACCTTTTCTCAATATGACATTCTTATCTTGCTTCCTCTGTGCCTAGCTGGCGACTCCTGACTCCATCCTTCATTTTCTCAGCATTCTTAGTTTGGTCATCTTGCCTACACTTTCTACCTGGCTACTGGCCAATCAGCATTTTATTAAACCAATTTGAGTGACAAATCTTTACAGTGTACAGGAAAATTATTCCACGGCAGAAATGTCCAACTGATGTGACAGGTGATTGAGGTTGAACTGAGGGGTCTTGGTGTTTCATTGGAGGTGGATTGTTGTAGAATATTATTTTAAGGTGTGTTATTTTTGTTTATGTTGCATTTGTTTAACTCTGAGAAGCTGTGTTACTGTGCCTATCTAAAACACCTTAACTGGTTTAATAAAGAACTGGATAGCCAATAGCAAAGCAGAAGAGAGAAACAGGCTGGGCTGGCAGGCAGAGACAATATATAGGAGAAATCTGAGAGGAGGGGAAGAAAAAGATGGAGGAGTGAAGGAAGAAGTAGCCAGAGAAGTAGGAAGACTCCAGGGGCTAGCCACCCAGATACACAGCAAGACATGGAGTAAGAGTAAGATTTACAGAAGAGAACGCGAAAAGCCCAGAGGCAAAAGGTAGATGGGATAATTTAAGTTAAGGAAAGCTGGCAAGAAACAAGCCAAGCTAAGGCTGGGCATTTATAAGTAAAAATAAGCCTCCATATGTGATTTATTTGGGAGCTGGGTGGTGGACCCCCAAAAGAGCAAAATCCCCCAAGTAACAACAATGGATGCCAAAAGTTATAAGTGATAGTTGTGATTTAGGTAATAAGGTAAACAGAATAGTACTTCTGAGAATACACACCAACACATGGGAGACAAATGGTGAAGTGAGAGTTAACCTAAGAACAGGGCCCTGTCTTGCTCTGAGTGTTATTCTTAATGTCTAACACATTAACATCTTATAGTAAATGTTTCCACAGATTAATAACTCTTTGACTGATGAATGAAGTGCAAAGATGTTTATAAATGTTCTATTTAAAGAAATGGTCATCAACTAATCTTGGTTGTCAACTTGACTACACCTGGAATCAACTAAACCCAAGTTGTTGGATGCACAAAGCTACACATAGAAACCCTGTCTTGAAAAACCAAAAAAAAGAAAAAAAAAGAATTAGAAATGCTGGGTATGGTGGCACACATCTATAATTTCAGTACTTAGCAAGCAAAAGTAGGAGGGTTATGAGTTCAAGGCCAGTCAGGGCTACATAGTGAGACCATGTCTCCAAATATGAAAAAGTACAGAAAAACAGTAACAACAGTAGCAATCTGCCCAACTTGTAAGTCTGCGTTTAGATAATTCAACTACTTGTTAATAGAGACTTAAGAGAAAAATTTCCAGGTTCTGAAGAGAAATATTTCAATACTAACTTATCAGTAAGTTGAAAAGAGAAATAATTGACAGTTGACAAAACAAATACTTCAAATATTCTATTTCGATTAAAAGTCCATAGCTAAAAGAACCATTCATACTCACTCAGTAGATCCTTGAATAGCAGACTAGAAAATTTCTCACACATACATAAGTAATTCTTCCATAAGCACTTCTTAGGTTATGTGGGAATAACTTCAAACTTTACCTTGTCTTAAGATTTTCAAGGTCTTCAGAGAAAATAGTATAATTTTTTGTCAGGAATGGTCCCAGGTGGTTATCTTCTAAACCCAAATCTTTAAGAAATAGGAGTATTTGCTTAATGTCCTTTTCAAAATCCAGTCTTAGAAGGAGGTTGGCTACATCTAGATGTCTTTCTATCCTAGACAAATCCACTCCTATAACAAATGAAAAGGATTAGTTAGAACTCAATTTGCTATTCAGCCATTAATTTCATACAGGAAAAAGTACTCTATTTAAGGGAGAAATGACATAGACAAATGGAAACTTAAGGTATTTTTAAATAAAACTGTTTGCAGAAATAAATTTAAATCAATAATTGTATTTATGTCAAAGGTCAATGTAGAGAGGAAGACAAAACATTTGTGTTTAAATTTCCCCCAAAGAGAAAGTCACTAAATCACACGGACAGCTACTTTGGGAGGCTGAGTCAGGAGGATCATAAGTTTGAGGCCTGCTTGGGTTATATAGTGAGCTCATGTTCAATGGTCAAACTTGAAGAGACAAATATTTTAAATACAAAAATAAAATTAAATTAAAAAAGGCTAGAGAGGGTAGTTCAGTGATAGAGTGCTTGTTTAGTATACATAAGACTATAAGTTCAATCCTTAGTACCACAAAACAAAAACCCATTTTCTAAAATTATTTCTAGAGGTACTTTTATATAAGTCTTATTTATAAAAGCAATGAAATAACATTTTTACCTAAAAGTATCCACAATCAAAAAAAATCATCATATTCTCTCTTTGAGTTTGAGGCCAGCCTGGTCTACAAAGTGAGTTCCAGGACAGCCAGGGCTGTTAAAGAGAGAAACCCTGTCTTGAAAAACCAAATAAAACAAAATAAAATAAAATATCATCACATTTACTCACCAATTTTAGAAACAAATGCACACCTACCCACACCACACATGGAAAAGAGACCAGAAACTAAAATAATTTTCTACACACTAGTGATGGCATTTAAATTCAGTAAGAAAAAGATAATACTATTCCATTAAAGTACAATGGGATCACTAGTTACACTAAAATGTTTTTGTGTCTTATTTCCAGATTGATTAATAATCTAAATATGTGTTCGTTCTATACATAGAAAAAAAGAACATAAACAAATATTAATTATGGAAAATAAAAAAGCCCATGGCTAGCTTTCCATTTACTTTGTAAGAGAAAGGTTTGGAAAGTTACTCAACAAACTGGTAATAGTAGTTATACTTGGGGGCAAGGGTACCTCTTGGAATAGCTGAACTTTAATCAACTACATGTAATTCTTTTGTAAGTGAAAAATAATACAAAATCAAGTGTAATTAATGAGTGAATAAAAAAATGAGATGGAAGCCAGTTTGAAAAATCTGTGATAAATTAGGGAAACATAGCTTTAAAATAACCGAAAAAAACTTGGACTCCAAGTGAGTTTACACACATGGGAAGGTCTTCCTCAGTGTGAGCTGTTACACCCTGGCTGTGAGGAAATGGAAAACTGCTTTTTAGCAGCAGTGGGAGAGCAGAATCCCATCAGGAGAGCACAAGGCTTACTTAAGTCACTCAGCTCACTCAGGATTCTACTAAAATGAAAAGCCAGACACTGGCTGCCCACTGTGGACCAGATACTTTTGCTAAGCACTGGGAATAGAAAATGAGCAATATATGCTGTAACAGATATTGACATTGAATCTATTACTGTTACATATATTTAGTCATCAGTCAGATCTGCAAAGCAGTAAATATTATTCTACAGAGCTCAAATAAAAAGAAATGTAAGACAGTGGCATGAGCAGAGCTAAGTGGACACACAAAGGCTATCTAGCAGTAGAGATAAGGAGACCAAGCCTTTTCTGGAGCTCAGAGGGAACTGTAAACTATTAGGGAAGTGCTGCATGATAGGAGCTGTTGCCATGGAATGAGCAGTTATAGGACCTGGAGAATGAAGAAATGACTGACCTGGCCCTTCTGGCCTTTAGCTGCTCTGGCAGAAGCTGCCTAGAAGCCAGCTGGCCTAGGAGCCTCTGTGCACAGGACTGGCCTCCTGGGAAAGGAGGAAAACAAGCAGAGGAGGACCATAGCTTTGTTACTAAAACACTGACAAGCACCAATGGATCCTCTGAGTTACTGCCATTTACAGTTACTTCTAAGACATGCTGTTGAGGTTATCAGCACATACAAAAAGAATGGCTGAAACATATCTGAAATCTAAGTATACTGTAAATTATTTATAGGTCTATGTTGATCCTTTATCACCCCGAGTAACTGCTCTAGGCTAGGGAAGCTGTTCTGGAAGGAAAGGTAACTTACTCTCCTCCATCAGATGTCATCTCTCACCTCTGAACTTACTACAGAAAGTCTTTTAAGCTGTGTACATTCTGAGGTTCAACAGATGTTTAAGGTATATCTACACTGTTTAATGATTAAACAAAGGTAATTAACCTATCACCACATGTACCATTTTGTGGATATTTAAAACACACTTAGAACTAAGTATGGAAACTCTGTACCCTCCCACCATCATCTCCCTATGGTCACCTGCCCTACCCCAAAACCACTATTCTTCTCTCTCTCTGCTTCTAATGTGACATGCGTTTGTATGCAAGTCCTCGAAGTCCTGTTGGAAATGACAGTACTTCGCTCTTGCTACTGGTGACTAGTATTGCATTGCGTATATGTGCAGGACATTTCCTTTAACCATTCATTAACTTATGGATGCTTAGGTTAATGAAAGAGCCTTTATTTGTATTTCTCATTTTGGACTTCTCATTTTACCTCCATCTTCATCTTCCAGATCTTCTCAAATAGGTATTTGTAACCCTGACTAGCCTAGAACTCACTACATAGACCAGGATGGCCTTGATCTCAGAGATCCACTATTGGTTTAAGTATTAAGGCAACTCCATGTAGTTAAAAGGGAGGTTTATTTTGTGGGGTAACTTACAAGTGAAGGGATAGGTAACAGGGTCTGGGAAAGTGAAGCGCAGTCCAGCGGTGTTCTCTGGAGAATTCTGTTCGGTCTACCTCCAGTGTCCAGGATCCAGAAACCAAAAGAAATGGCCCATTGGGATCTCGGGTCTTCAGGGGTCCTCTCTTGGCTCTGCCTTGTAGGCGTGATAGTTACCAAAGCCTCAAGTGGGTCAGAGCTGGACCCACTATATCCCACCTATCTCTGGCTCCACATACAGGGATTCAATGCCTAGCCTCACATGAAGCTCTGTGAGAACATAAGTCATTTCCTACACATTTGGGTAACATCTGGCTAACTAGGTCCCAAACAAGAGTGAAACATTACCATATACTGTCATTAGTGCAGGCATAAAAGCAGGCAGAGTGGAACTCAGAAGGGTCACTCAGATGGTAGGGCCAGAAAACACATATCTATGGTGATATTTTAATTATGCTTAAATGTGGTGATATTTTATCTGTGCTTTATTTAATAAATCCTGCCTGAAGATCAGGGGAAAAGGCCAGACATTTTAAGTAAACAAAGTCAGGCAGCACACACCCTTAATCTGATCACTTAGCAGGCAGGGTCTCTGTGTGTTTAAGGCCATACTAGGGAACAGAGCCAAGCATGGTCACACACGCCTTTAATTCCAGTACCAACCATAGAGACCTGGAGGTCTGTACAGACAGACAGTGACAAGGGAGCTGGGCTAAGAGCCAATGAGAGGGCAGAAAAGCAAGGCATATAAAGGTGTGGGTAGAAAGGAAGTAGCTTGCATTTGGAAGCTGCATTGGTGAGATAAGGTTGGCTGGTGGCTCTCCCTATTTCCCTGATCTTGAAGGGTCTCACTCCTATATTTGGCTCTGTGTTTTTTATTTAATAAGACCATTTAGAAATCTGTCTACACATATCAGAAGCTGCTTGAACTTGAGGTAAGTTCTCCAAGGGTGAAGTAGGCAAGAGGAGAGGCTGACAAGATGAGCAGGAGCAAAGCAGGGAGAACTCAAAGGCCTTGGAAGGCTTTGAAGATTTGAAGCAGTTAACCAGAGCTCTCAATTGGCAATTTAGAAGGAACACTACAGGGAGTTTTCAGGGCCAATACAGTGAATAGGAAGTTATCAAGTTAGGGGCTGGAGTTAGGCTCAGGAAGTATAGTGCTTGCCTTGTAAACATGAGGACTTAAGTTTGATCCCCAGAAGTCACATTTAAAAACACCCAGCAGGGTGGTATGCACTTGTAATCCCAGCACTGGGTAAGTGGAGACAGATACATCTCTGGGGCTCACTGGCCAGTTAGTTTAGCCTATTTGCAAGTCCAGACCAAGGAAAGAACCTGGCTTTTGGCCACATTTACACACACACACACACACACACACACACACACACACAAATTTAGCCTATTTGCAAGTCTAGACCAAGGAAAGAACCTGGCTTTTGGCTACATTTACACACACACACACACACACACACACACACACACACAAATTTAGCCTATTTGCAAGTCTAGACCAAGGAAAGAACCTGGCTTTTGGCTATATTTACACACACACACACACACACACACACACACACACACACACACACACACACACACACACACTCTCACACAGGATTACCAAAGTAGGAGGTGCCTACCTGATAATTCAGTGACAAATGAGTTCTAAAGAAGGGTAACTACAGAATAAGAGCAAACTTGAGACATGGACTTGTAGCTTAAAGTCCTCCTGTGCCCACCCAGCTCCTGTATCCTCCTGGTCCTGCAGCCTCTCAGATCCAAATGAACACAGAGGCTTATATTAATTACAGACTGTATAGCCTATTGGCTCAGGCTTCTCACTAGCTAGATCTTACATCTTAAATTAACCCATTTTTATAAATACTTTACCACATGGCTCATGGCTTACCGGTGTCTTTACAACTGGCTTCTCATGGCAGCGGCTGGTCTCCCTGCCTTGTTCCTGTCTCTCTCTGAATTTCCTGCCTGCCTCTAAGCTGCCATGCCATAGGCCAAACAGCTTTATTTATCAACCAATCAGAGCAACACATATTCACAGCATACAGAAAGACATTCCCCTATCAGGGACTATGGAGGATAAGGTTCTGAACAGATGCTAAGGAAGGAGGAAGGAAAGAAACAAGGACAACCCCTAAGGGTTGTCCAGAGATGGCATGGCACAGGTATTCTTTTCCCTTTTCTGATAAACAAAACAGCTCTCCAAGACATGGGGAATGAGAAACAAAAGGGAGCATCTTTGGTAAAACAAGATTTATCTATATCCCCCAAACATAACATATAAAAACAGACTTATCAGAGAGAATAAGAAACTGAAAGGTCCACAAATAAGAATTCTAATGGAAGATGCCAGTATGTGAAACACTGAAAGTTTTAGAATTTGGACTTTTTGGGTTTTGGATGATCAACTCATAAAGTCTATGCAAATATGCTGGATAATATGAAAAAGCCTCAAATCTCAAACACTCCTGGTTCCAGGTATTTTGGATAAGGAGTGGTTGTGTGAATAAAAATGACCCCCAATGGCTCATAGGGAGTAGCATTATTAGGAGGTGTGGCCTTGTTGGAGGAAGTGAGTCACTAGGAGTGGGCTTTGAGATTTCAAGCTAGGCCTAGTGTGACTCTCTCTTCCCGCTACCCGTGAATCCACATGTAGAACTCTCAGCTCCTCTCCTGAACCATGTCTGCCTGCATGCTGCTATGCTTCTAGCCCTAATTAAACGTCTTCCTTTATAAGAGTCCCTAGAGATTAAGAGGTGCAAGATGAAGTAAAAGCTAAAAATGGGGAACTATGTATGGCTATATGTGGAAACTTTGATTCCTCCATCTCTTACCTATCCAATTCCTCTCAACTCCCCAGGGTCATTACTGAGAAAATCAAGTAGAAGTGCCAAACCAGACTCAAGGAAGACAGGTTCAACAAGGTTGCTAGATTACAGATAGAACCAAAGGAAAAGTGTGCAATGAACAGCTCTAGCTGCCTTTAATAACCTAGATTCAAGGATAATATACTAGCCAGCATATTAAGTTATGCAGGCTGAGAGAACAATCCAGATGAGGTCAGTTGGTTCCAGGAGGAAGGTTAGGGATAACATCGCAGACAGCAGTGCACCACAGGCTGACTGGTAGGTTAGAAACTTACCAAGCTGCACTAGCTGCTGCAGAGTCTTGGAATGATCTACGTAGTCTCCAAGTGTGAAGGAGGATAGGGGCAACAGAGGGTGTGCAACAATCTGAATAGCTTCCTCCTCTGAAATTGGTTGTATTGGAGACAATGGAGGTAAGTCATCCAGTTCTTTGCAGCGAGTCATGAGGAAAGAGAGAGGCAAGTTAGCACTGTCATGCACATTTGGAAAATTATTTCTATAAAGGGGCTACAAAAATGGCTCAGTGGTCAAGAGTATGTATTGCTCTTGCAGTTTGGATCCCAGCACCTACATCAGGAAACTCATAATCCTATAACTTCCGTTCTAGGACCTACCATCTTGTGGACTCCATGGGCACTAATACTCACATGTACTCCCACAAATACGTATGCGTAATTAAAAATGAAATACACCTTAAAAAGAAAACAACCTAAAATTTCCATAAATATTATATCTTCTTTAGTTTGTGTCTTTCACTGGTTAAGTACTAAGGTCATTTCAGAATTAGATGCTTATGAAGTCTAAGCATAGAATAATGGTCCATACCTGTAATCCCAGCATTCCACTGGGCAGGCTGAGAAAGGAGAATTACAGCAAGTCTGAAGCCAGCATGGCCTAATAGTGGCGACCCACACAATATCCTAAGATTTAAGAGTACCCAGAGAGACTATTCTCCCTTCAAGGTAAGAAGTTTGTTGGTAAGGTTCAAGGCATTCAATCCATTTTTGAGACAGTGAACACAACCCAGGCAATCCTCCTGCTTCAGCTTCCTAAATGCTAGAAATACAGGTATGAGTCACCTTGTCTGGGTAAGGCACAAAACTACTTCTCTACACTTTTCATCAATAGGTAAGAATGTTAAAGGTCTACTGCTCTTCAACCACATTCTGAAAGACATGGTTTGTGAACATGGCCAAAAGTATGACTTTTTTAAATACCCCAAATCCACATTCTAAAGTTATGATACCCCGAATTTATTCATTTTCATCCAATGCCCTCCTCTGCAAATTCTCTTAAGAGAATTTCTATGTTCCTACCATCTGCAATCCTTTGCCAATCCTCTATTCAGCCCTGATATGTAATTCTTTGCTGTTGTTTTAATACGATTGGTATGAAAGATATTTGAAATTGTAACTTTAAGGACCCCAGACTATGATCTCTTATTGTTTTACCTTATTAACAATTCTTTCTCATTTTTCACAGGCAGCTTCTCCTCCCTGCCTCCCCTTTTAGCAATCATTCACATTCTCCTAATGGAGTATTATTATACCTGTGGCATAACAATGTATTCCTATATCAAGAGGCATGGAAAGAGGAGGGTAGACTATACAGCAATTCAAGGGAAATTTGAAGTGTAAACTCACTGTTCCATTTGGTAATTATTACACAATTAAATATATGTCAAAACTGTATACCCCAAAGATAAGTATCAATTAAATCCTAATATTTCTAATTAATGCCAAAAAAGACACTTTTCAAAAGAAGCTACAAAATTAAATATTTAGAAAGCAAATGTTTTATACATTCAGCTATAAAATAATCTGACACAAATTAACCTAGGAACTTACTAAAATAACAGTTTAATAGAACTAAATGAATACAACCGACACTGTTCCTTTTCCTGCCTGGTACAAAATAGGACATGAAATGGGTGAGTATTGTCTAAATATATAGCATGATCAAAACTAGCCCTGAAAAGGGGACTTTACTCAATGTCCAGAATTACCTTCAAGAGGCAGCTCAGAGTCAAAACTGGATATCCTGTCTGGTTTTTCACTCACTGAAGCAAGCAGAGTGCTTTGCACAGAACTGCTCTCTTGTCTATTGGAGTTGGCAGAATGGAAACTATTCCAAGATGAGGAAGTCCTATAAGTCTTAATTCCACACTGGAGTAAGCAATTGTCAGAGGACAACAGAGCCTGAGATGAGAAGCCACTTGACAATGTTTTTCCTGGTCTTGCAGAGTGTTTTGTGATTTGCGCAGGTTTAATGAAGCTACTCAATTTAATTGAGTTGAACCATCTGGGTATCTGTTGGGCTAACAGGGCCATTTTTTTCTTAGTCTACAAAAGAAAAACAAAATCATCAAAAGAAGAAAGATTAACTTACTCAAATGTTTAAAATAGCAGTCAAATAGCAAATAAATAGATAATAAATTACTTCCTAAAATAAAGAATTTAAATAATTATGTCCAGGGTAGGCAAATGTTTCCTATATATGAAAAGCCACAAGCAAAAGTAATCTCAGCTACCAATCAAAACAGAAACTTATGAACTGGAAAAATAAAGATATGACTTACAATTTAAAAACAAAACAAAGAATCACTTTAAACCAAACAAGTCTGTAAATGCTCAAATTACAACAGACCCAAATCAACTGTTAATTTGCTCTTCACGAGGAGACTGTAACAGTAATAAAATGAAATGTTCTTGGAACTTGGTTTGAAGTCTACATAGGAAATATATTGCAGATTATAATGCTGAATTATTAAAATATATTTTATGCATATAAGTTAGTCACAAAGTAAACAAAAAGAAATACTATTGGGGAATATTATTTTAAGGTGTGTTACTTTTGTTTATGTTGCATTTGTTTAACTCTGTGAAGCTGTGTTACTGTGCCTGTCTACAACACCTGATGGTCTAATAAAGAGCTGAACAGCCAATAGCAAGGCAGGAAAAAGAATAGGCAGGGCTGGCAGGCAGAGAGAATATATAGGAGAACTCTGGAAGGAAGAAGTAGCCAGAGGAGGAGGAGGAACTCCAGAGGCTAGCCACCCAGATACACAGCAAGCCACAGACTAAGAGTAAGATTTACAGAAGTAAGAGAATGGAAAAAGCCCAGAGGCAAAAAAGGTAGATGGGTTAATTTAAGTTAAGGAAAGCTGGCAAGAAACAAGCCAAGCTAAGGCTGAGCATTTATAATTAAGAATAAGCCGGGCAGTGGTGGCACACGCCTTTAATCCCAGCACTCGGGAGGCAGAGGCAGGCGGATCTCTGTGAATTCGAGGCCAGCCTGGTCTCCAAAGCGAGTTCCGGGAAAGCTGCAAAGCTACACCGTGAAACCCTGTCTCGAAAAAAAAACCAAAAAAAAAAAGAATAAGCCTCCGTGTGTGATTTACTTGGGAGCTGGGTGGCGGGCCCCCAAAACAGTACAAAGAGTAAGAAAACAAACAACAACAAAACCCACTGTTTTAAATGAGTCATAAATAATATTGCTAAATAGAACACTGAAACTGTTGACTGGTCTGATATCCAGTCCTTCAAAAGAGACCTGAAAAAAGGTGGTTTGGCAAAACCCTGCTGCAATAAAAAGAACAGCTTTCAAACAGAAAGGGTCAAAATAAGGAGCAGCTGGGCATGGTAGTGAACGCCTCCTGTAACCCTCTCTTGGGACACAGAGAAAGCATTAAAAGTTTAAGGCAAGCCAGAACAATGTATTTGAAGCTGTTAAAAAAAGAAAAAAAAAAGGACAAAATCCAAACAAGTAACAAATCAACTCCAAAACTAAAACAACAGAAACAAAGAAGTGACCAGCAATACTTAAATATTAATTAAGATAATACATATAAAAGTATGGGGGGGGGTCATACCTGTAATCCTAGTACTCAGTAGCCTAAGGCAGGATTGCTCAAAGTTCAAGGTTAGCATGAGCTACAAATGTGAGACAGATTCAAATAAATAAATTAGAAAGGCTCAATAAATGTTAGCCATAATTATCAACTAGACAGACAAAAAATGTTAATTATGAATTAACTCTTGCTTATGCCTCTGTATTTTCTCTATACAGTGGAATTCAGCTTGTTTTATGCCCTGAATGGAGGGTCTAATGTCTTGGAGGTTTGTAGTTTGGGGACAATGGCTAAGAGTTATACAAGAGCAAATCTCTTTCCTTCTGAAGTGACCTGAGGAAGGATGTGTTTGTAGTAACTTTGTGGGATAGGTAACTTTTGCTAAATTTTAGTTGGAAAGGAATTTCCAAACCTGTCAAATTTTCACTCAAATTTCTTCTGGTCTCCACAGTAGTTACACCAAAGTGGGAACTCAGTTATGTCACATACACAAGACCAAATTTCTAGGGAAGGTTCAGTACAGCCAGGCAGGTCCTATCCACAAGTGGTCAAGGACAGCTATAAACGGTGTGGTTCAACACAAAATCATAAGCTTTCTTAAAACATTTTCTCCCACGGGAGTTGTAACTTGACAGCCTGGTTCTTGATGTGAACTCTTGGCAATGTCAGACTGGACATGCCATTCTAGCCCATGATGATGGAGGCCCAAAAACTGTTCTCTACATAATGCTTGTATGTGTGCTGTGTTGGAGAAAACTCACAGCTACAGTTTACCCCGGGCTACACTCTCAGCTTCAACTACGTTTCTATAAAGGTAGAGAATACAATAAAACGATTTGTCTAAGCACTTTGTGATACATTCAAACCAACTCCCAGAACCCCAACTTCATTCTGGAGTTTGTCTAGAATCAAATGCAATAACTTTTCCACAGCTAGTGGACTCACTGTTAAATTCCAGTTGTATTCAAAGATCTGATTGCTAAAGACTAATTTTTACCCCTCTCCCCCTTTTATTTGCCACTACACTCCCTCACATGACCAGTGTCTAAACCATCTGAACAACTGGCTAAAGCAGAAGGAAAAAGCAGAGCTTCACCCCCTCCCTGGACCCACCTTCTCAGGGACTTTTCTGCACCAAGCTAGAACCTTGAAAGTCAGGGAGTTCCAGTTTATTGAGTGGGAGTGAATACAGGTCAAGTGCAGGCACACACAACACTCAGAAACGAGAGAAGATTTGCACTTGTGTGTAATGCCCTGCGGTGTGTACATTAGTTAGACGAAAAGAAGAAAAAAGGTCCTTAACATATTTCAAGTAAATCTTAGGGGATTCCAGTTCTCGGCTGTATCCTGTACTATTTTGTTAGGAACAGGAAAAAGCGGAAACAGGCTTTTCTGGGTTCAAGATCTCTACGTTTAACTAATCCTGACCTTGGGAGGTGAAAGGCGCACTTCGTAATAAAGGACCTCTAGATAGCGCGGCCGCTCTCCCGCGGGCAATTTAACCAACACTCTTTAACCAAGAGTTCAGTCAGGACACCTTAGAGTCTCTAACAAAACTCCACAGGAAGCCAGGACACTCTCTGGGCCCCCTTCTAGTGCTGGTAAACAAGCCCTGCAGTGTTCCCATTACAAGGTTCAGGGACGCACCCCCTCCCCGGGTCACCGAGAACCTACCAAGCCGCGAGGCTCCCAGCTGCTGGCTGCATGCAGACCGGCCTCCAACACCGCCGGGCCGCGGCCTTGCGCTCCCGTTACACCTGAGCCAGGTCCGCGGCGGCGCAGACCGGGTGCACCGACCGCACCGCCCGGTCGCCCAGCAAGTCCGCGATTCGCCGCGCCCGCCCCGCGCCGCCACCTACGTGGGCTGCGCTCCGAGTGGGCGAGACCATCGGCGGCGATGTGGAGGGGAAGCCGCGGGGGGTAGGTAGGTAGTCGGGAATAACTGCCAGGGTCTTGGAGGCCCTGGGGCCGATCGACGCGCTCTTTGAATCCGAGGCTCCTCAGCTCTGTAGGGAGGATGAGTGCTCCGCGATGTCGTCCTGCCAGGGCCCGCCGCCGCCAGCTGCGCTCTCCCCCCACCCCAGGCCGCGGTGGTGGCGCCGCGACCCCGCCCTCGCGCGTCGGCCCTTCCCTCTGCGAGTACCCTTCTCAGGGGCCAGACCGGGTCCCAGCGCCAGGCAGCTACAGCACCGCGGTCCGTCACTGCCGGGGTCCCAGCCTTCGCGGGCCGGGGCCTCCGCTGCCGCGGCAGGACGGGGAGGAGAACCATGGCGTCCTGCGTGGGGAGCCGGACTCTGAGCAAGGATGATGTGAACTACAGAATGCATTTCCGCATGATCAACGAGCAGCAAGTGGAGGACATCACCATAGACTTCTTCTACCGGCCGCACACTATCACCCTGCTCAGTTTCACCATTATCAGCCTCATGTACTTCGCCTTCACCAGGTGAGGTGGGCCTGGCCGCGCGCGGGGCGCCCGAGAACAGAGGGCAGTGGTGGCAGGGAAGCTGTGGCGGGGAAGGTGGGCCGGTGTGACTGGTGGTGAGGAAGCAAGTAGCTGCTCCATGCGTGCAAGCTCATGGACACACGGCCCACGCAGCTCTTTCGCCCACCGCGTGGCTTACAATTCTCTCTGCCTGCTCTTCCACCTGCTACCCCTCACCTCCAAATCCCATCTCTCACATTCGGTGCCTTGGACCACAGCAGGAGCTCATGCAGGTCACCTAGCCGGGTCACCCACATCCCTCGCTCTGCATCATTCCCCACACGTCACTACCGGGATGCTCTGCTCCGCAACCACTTCATCCGTGGTCTGTTCCTAGCACACCGCATGAATCATTTCATGACTGCACCACTTTTAGGACAAACTACATACATAAAACACATCATGCGCAGGCCTGGTATACAACTAGATTCCCAAATGAACTCCCCTGGTATTCAGTATTTCCAGGCACACACAAACACAAATGCACACACTGTTTTTTCCAATGCAACACCTCTTATATGCATTGCATACAATCATCTAACATAATCTTTACCCCATCTCAAACACCACCTCTATGCCACAGCATCAACAGTGGCTGTTGACACACATCCCAGTGGACAACTCCCATCAAGCACAGCCCAATATCCACCAGCTCCAATGCACTGTACTGCATAGACTACAGCTGATCACACATCACATGGGGCAGACCCCACCCTGTCATCCATCTCCTGACATACATGCTGAAAAGAGATAATGTCGAGCAATTGTGTAGTACTTGGAGACTACTAAACCCTAACTATAATAAACAGAACACATAAAATGTATACAACATAACACAGCTCTCTTAATCCTCTAAAATAATATGCATATGTTCAAAGCACTTCTAGTAATTGCATATGCTCATACTTTTCAAGGGTACTGTTCCTGTGGCCCCTTGACCCTAGCCAAGGAGCTAATGGATCCCAGAGCACACACACTCCATTTTTATTTATGATTTATATTATCTGAATTACATCTTTTAAAGACAGGGAAGTCATATCCTGCCCACCACACCATTATGGCTTCCAAGAGTGACTGAGAGAGACTGTGTTTTCAAAATTGGCTGTGGTTTTAGTGAAGTTACTTAACTTTGTTCTGAGTGTGAGGGTCCATGCCTGCAGAATGAATAAAATGTTTGTATTCACTTTAGGGTTATGAAGACTAAATGAATATGTGCAAACCTGTTGAGTAGAGTACCTGGTATATGATGCCCCATTAATGGTAGCTTTCTTGAGTTTCCACCCCTTTCTTTTTCTTTGCAATAGGATTAGGCAGTATAGCCCAGGCTAGCCTTGAACCCTCACTCATCCTGCTGTAGCCTAGTGTTGTGAGTATAGACTTATACTACCACACCCAGCTTCTCCTGATATTTTTATCCAATAATCAAAGTCTGGGGGAAATGTGCAGAGGTAAGTTGATCAGTCACAAGTATTTGAAGAAACTTCCGGTATTTAGTAGAGGGGAGGACAAAGGCATGTAATGGGACATGGGACAGTATTGTATCACACAGACTAGATTACAAATGTTTATTTTATGAATCACTTCAAAGATAGAAATAGTAGGTAACAGTTATTCTTTCTTAGGGGTGCCACTACCATCATTGAAAAGTCTACCAATATTTTACAGATCAGAACTTCCTTCCTATAGTTCCTAGTTTTGGAGAGAACTCACTCTTGAGACTAGTTACTGTCAGCTCCTCATCGTGTCATCTGATTTTACCACATAAGATATGTATGCTCACATAATGTGTTCAGCCCCAGTTTCCTCATCTATATGCAAAGTGAAAATATCAGCATTAACACCTCATAGGATTGTCATGAGAATTAATCTTTTTTGGTAGTTCAGCTCAGTGCATGGCACTAAGTTAAGTGGTTAAGAAGCAGGATTTCATTGTTTGATAATGCTTTCTAAATTATATTTGTTACTGAATAGGCTATAGTTTGTTCTGGAATTGAGAAAAAAGGTAGAGGCATTGGAATATGGACTTAGTAGAACATACCTACTCGTTTCACATTAACTTCAGCTAATAGGTGGATTTAAAATGACAGAATGGTGAGGGGGTTCTTTTGAAATGAGAAAAGCAACAATACCATCTAATGATGGTGAGAAGAAAGAATCAACTACATGTCTTTAGTATTATTGCAGACCATTTCAAAATAGATCTGTCTTTCTCCTTTCTAAGGCAGAAAGTAATGTTCTGGAATTTAATTTTATATGCCATATTCTGTCTAGTGGATGCATTGTAGCAGTGAAGTGCGAAAAATGAGTGAATTTTAGCAGCTTGTCAAAGATAATTAAAAAAAAAAACATAATCTGAACCTTGGGCTATAGACCTTTCCAGAAGTTATAACAATTTTATTTGTTATGCTAATTTCATAAAGAAATCACAATGAGGAACAAATCATACATTTTACCTTACATAAAATCAGAAGCATAATTAATAGAATCAGGAGTTATTAGTATCTATTTTTTGTAATAACTTATGATTCATGTAAATGGGATATTATAACGATAGCTCAATTTTACTCTATGAAGATTGAAAGTCATGTTTTTTTTTTTAATTTTTATTTCTTTTTATGGTCTTTTGCCTGCATGTATGTCTGTGTGAGGGTGCCGGATCCTCTGGAACTGGACTTACAGACAGGTGTGAGCTTCTGTGTGGGTACTGGGAATTGAACCCTCATCCTCTGGAAGGGCAGTGAGTCCTCTTAAACGCCAAGCCATCTCTCCAGCCCCGAAAGTAATGGTTTCTAAAATGAAAATTTTTCACACCATGCTCTTTTGTAATGACTGTCTGTAGTACCTTATATGAACTTATAGTTAGATAATGTTCAGTGCAATTCTCTCAATCAAACTTTTAAAATATGGCTTAATATTTGTTTTGCAAAGGCTAGTTATCTAAGAGAATAGAATATTTTGGGGGTTTTGTATTCCCAGGATGTAAGAATAGTGCCTGGTGAGATTATGTGCTATGAATACCCTGTAAGAATTTTGGAACGTGAAGGATTTGATACCTCAAACAAAAGTCTGAGGTAAGGTTGGTTGTCCGGGAGTTCTTCTGTTAGAGTTCTAGTGGGTTGAGTATTACTCAAGAGTCCTTATTGATGGGAGGTTAAGTACAGAATTGCTATTGGAAGATGGTAAAATCATTCAGAGATAGTGCCTATTGGTAGGTCCTCATGGTCACTGAGGGCATGTGCTTGGAAGGTTGCTTTTCTATACCTCACCCCGAAACTTCACTAGAAAAGTCTTAAAACCAGAGGAAACCTGTTCTCTCATCCCTACTTTAACTGCAGTTATTTGACATAGTGACTTTCTAGCAGCCAAGGCTACGTAATAAGACCCTGCCTCAAAAGCAAAATAAAACCCCCAAATTGCAATCACACAAGTTCTGCCATTGTTATCCATGATCTGAAGGGGTGCAGTGAGTTAGCAGCCCTGTTAGCACTTGCCAACAGGAATTGTTCCTTGTCTAGATGAGATTGCCTCATTGAAAATGGCTGTACCTATGTGGTTATCGGTTCACTTGTTCTTGTTTTCTCCAGATATGGAACTAAGAATAGAGGATAGACAAGGGACAGAGGAGTAGACAGATGTTTGATTTGTTTTTAAGTAATGGTTTTTACTTAATTTCCCTTTAGGAAGTATACTTTTTCATTTTTCCTTGAACCATATTTCTGGCTCTCTCTCTGAGTCTAGGGGTTTCTCCCAGCCTTCCTGATTTTTCCCTCAAGACCATATAAAGACCCTATAGAAAATGCCTCCCAATACTACCAATGAGGTTGTCTTGGTCCTGCTTTCCTATATTATATTTTTTTCTCTATGTAACAGAAACCTTGATATCTCTGGCACCAAGAATATTAATTGATGGTTTGTAGTAATGGCTTAAGAAGTACACAAATGAGGCTAGACCAACCCTAGAGATAGAAAAGAATACTGTTAGGCTATATTGTGTTAGGTTGCATTTGAAGGCCAGTTAACATTGATCCTCACTATTTCTCTTTCTCAGTTATTTGAATCATTTTAAAATTAGAATTAAATAAGCATCTTTTTATATTTTTTTGAACTCTGTTTTTTTTCGTTTTCTTTTTCTTTTCTCCTAATAAAATTGTAAACTTATTAAAGGGAAAAGCTGTATGTTTCTTTGAGGTCGTCATCTGTAGTGAATAGGCCCTTGGGTGACTCAGATATTTATTTGGTTTCAATGGTGCCCTACCCTAAAGAGATTATATGTCAAGGAATTACTGCCTCTTGGGCTCCTCTTTAATAAATGGTGCTAATTCAGGCTGGTCCTTTCAAATACTTGTTTATTGTTTCCAACATAGCACTGTTTATCTTGTGATAGTATCCTGGTAGCTCTAGATTGGTGTACAGGAATCAGATGTTTTTACATTTCAGCTAGTTCTAAAACCAGGATTGCTTCAGTCTGCTTGGTCTGCCTCCTTGGTCCTAGCTTTGTGTTCAGTGCTGCTCAACAGCTGAGCAATCCCTGTTCCATTCAGACTAACTCTTTGCCATCGTGGGATTCACCTGGTTTATCCTTATAGATCTTTTGGACCTTTCTTAGCTGTTCTTCTTTGACCATTTCAAACTTTAGCTCAGCAAATCATCAGCCCCTCAGAACGGCATACCCTCAGGCTCATTAGCTCTTAAACCAAAACTGTGATCCTGCCTGCCCCCTGCTTGATGGGTAGCTGTGTGCCTACCACCTGGGAAAAATGCAAGCTGGATATGGAGGCTCTACCTCGTGGAGTAGATTGTGTTTTGTTCCTCTACATCTGCACACAGCATACTCTTCAGACTCAGTCAACTCCCTGGCTTACCCCAGTACTGCTGTCTCTCTCTCTTGGCTCCTCTTGCCCACTCACAAGATCACAGCACCTCACACAGCTCCTTTGGATGGTTCTTTTCCTGAACATCTT